ATAATCTCCTCATAATAAATATTACTGAAGTAATCGTAAACCAGTCAATTATTGTCACTCTATATATAAATTCTTCAAAAACTAGACAGAAGAAAGTTCTTATAAAATTTCCGTCCGAAAGCGAATATGGAAGAGTGGAGACCTCACAGGGAAGGCGAATCAATATCGCATAAACCCTCATTCGTCCTTTGTCAATTTCCACTCTCCACTTATGGTGAGACGTGAGGGTTACTTCCGCAACGAGTCATTCGATCGGAGGGAACTTCTCCTTCCTTCTTGGCTTACTCAGTAAGAAAGGAAAGAAGTATTTTTGTACAATGCAAAGATGGAGAAGTCATAAGTTGTGCTTCTTGTAAAAATTGATACTGAAACCGTACAGAATTTGTGAATGCCAATTAGATTATGTCCTAATCATTCTGTAGCGCGTTTAGAAAAATATTACAGATTTTGATGGGAAACTACGGCCTAAATTTATAAGTTTAAAGGTCCATGTATATATACAAATAAATGAGTCACTTTCCTCACTAGTTTACATCCTTTTGTCATCAGATATGATTTTGCGCTGTTTTGAGCAAAGTTAGAATCTCAAAGTGCATATTGTAAACCAGTGGCTTGCGTATTGCGTCACGCGATGCTTACCTGTCGGCAGCAACGCGTCGCGTCTTGACAAGTGCGGTGAAGGCCACTATCATTCAGGGTGTAGTGGCTGAGTATTGGGTGGTTTTGTCCGTCTTCGGCTCTTAATAATATTTTTTAGGGAGGTCATTTGGGAATGAGTTGTCGTTCTACTCGGTGCTTTGTAGGGGGAAGGGGGAAGCGGGAGGGGAAGGATGTTACAGTTGGAAGATTTTAGTATTCGTCTTGATCTTTCCGTGGTTTAATCCAGAAAGATTTTGTTTGCTAGAGACGTCATTTTCGATATGCATTTGGGTGTAGTTAAATTTGGCTTACGTCGGTATTAGTGATTTCTGGAGTGGCGCTGTTGGTGTTGTAGTTGTGGTTGGACTGGGATTTAATTGTTGTATCACGTCATAGGTCACGTCATTTTGAAGTTTTTGTTTAGCAGATGCGTATACAACACACTTCTGGTAAAAAAGAATACCTATTTTTTAAAAAAATAATTAATAAAAGTTTAAGGAATCAAAGAAAAAAAAAAATTGGTTTTTGGTGCAGCCAACCACCTGTAGTTACTTAGGAAGTGAGTTTCTCTCGCAGGATGGTAACTAGGGCTTATGAATTTCATCAGGAGTATATTGGGTTGCAGATATTTCAAATTGGGGAGTTCTTAGACTTTTCTTGAAATATAAGTCTTTTTGTAGAAAGTAGAGGAAGTGTTATGTTTCTGTTGCCTGTGGAACGCATATTTTGTTGTTTCTTTTTTTCTTTATTATTTGAAGACCTTGATTGTTCCTGTCTTTTATGTATGACCTGAAGTTTGTGGGGAGGGGAGGGGGTATTGGCGTTTGGGTTTTAGTGGCTTCTGACGTGTTTGGCTCTTAATATGGTACTTGTGGCTTTGTTTTTTGTCGCTGTTGAGGTTAGAAATGATTTGTTTTTGTTTCATTTCGGGGTTTTCTGCGTGTATTTTGGGTTTTGAGAGACTCAAGCAGATTTCCACTTAATCAGTGGTTTCAGCTCGTCAGTTTTTTTTTTTT